GGGTGGAGCAGAAGACCACCAGGGCAGAGCAGGTGGAGCTGAAGACCCCCACAGCAGAGCAAATGGGACCAAAGATCACCACGGTGGAGCAGAAGGCCACCACAGCAGAGCAGACAGGACTGAAGATCCCCATGATGGAGCAGAAGACCACTTCAGCGGAGCTGATGCTGCAAGGGACCACCAAGATGGCTCAGGAGATGTCCACCAAAGTGGAGCTGACGAGGCAGATGACTACCAAGGTGGATCAGGCGGGACTGCAATAGAGAGCACAGAGAGGTTAACAACGGCCTCTGCGGCCGTAACAGGACAGGCAGACAGTTCAGAGACGGCTTCATTGACCGTGACAGGACAGGCGAAGAGCTCAGAGACGGCCTCCTTGGCCATGACAGGGTAGACTGTGATTTCAAAGGCGGCCTCCTTGGCCGTGACTGGACAGGCAGAGAGTCCAGGGACTGCCTTCTTGGCCGTGACAGGACAGGCAGGGAGCTCAAGGGTGAACTTTGTGGTTGAGACAGGACATGCAGGGAACTCACAGGCTGGCACCAACACAGGACTGAGCTCTAAGGCCTGAGTGTGGACTCTGGAGCGGATTCATGGACTAGAGCGGGCTCTGGATCGGAGCTTGGTGTACGGTGTATGGTGTATAGTGAATGGTAAATGGTGTATGGTGTCCAGGAACCAGGAACCAAGATACGGAAGAACCAAGATACAAGGATTAGAATTGCAGTAATGACAAATACAAGACTTAGCAAAGAATGAGAGTAAGAACCAGGCTTATATAGGGTGAGCTAACCATGCTAATGAGACACAGGTGCAAACAATAAGTGCTGATGAGACCGGGCAGAGGATTATGGGGAATGAAGTCCTTGATAGAGTGGCAGAAGTCTGGGATGAAGTGCCCTCTAGTGGACAACCAGTGCACTCCAGTCGGTGATCGTGACAATTGGTTATAATTGGATTATATGAAACATTATTACTGTACTGTTAATATCTTGTGGCATCATTCTGTCTTGTCATTTTCAATAACAGTACAATTTAAGTAGCCTAAATTGTTTATAATCACGATTGCATCATTTCATTGTCTCATTAAAAGAAAATCTTTGATAACGATTAATTGTCAGTAATTTGATTGACGAGATTAACACTCTGTAGATCTTAAATGACATTCAGGTTGAAAGTAAAAGTACACTCATGAATGTTCACACTGCATAGTCAAAAATAAATGTAACAACTAAGAAAACTAAGAAAACCACAGAGGTCTTTGAATGAAGCAAAATAAAAATAAAAAATAAAAAAATTTTAAACATCCAGTTCTTAAAAGATATTTCCATAGTTTAAAATACTTCCTTTATACATTCACAGCCAGAGTTTTGAGATGCAAATCAACTACATAAAAAGAAAGAGAAGAATACATGGCTGTTGTATTTGAATTCCCACTAAAATACTCAGGACTGTTTATACAACAGCCTCGACTTAAGTAAGGTCACTGCGCTCTGCAGAGAAATTCATGGAAATTATATTCAGCAGAACAATAAATGTTAGGAATGTATCACATGAATAAAACAGCTTATTTAAACATAACATAACTACACAGAGTGCTAAAGGTAAGTACATTAATGTTTAGCTCACGGAATGACTACATCTTTGTAATGTAGATTTGACGGGCTTCACCTCCTATACAGTGAAATAAATTGCCTGTGTTTTTCTGTTTTAAATGCTGCTAAGCTATGACCAGAAGCACAAGTAACATTATCTATATGGTCATCCAAGCGGAAGTGCACAGATTGTCTGGCCTGTATTCACTCAGCTGTGAATTTACTCTCCGTGCTAGACTGCGACGAGCAGTGATCTACTTCTGACTGCCAGCAAGGGACACTGGTGTTAGTTGACACAAGGACTGTATCTCAGTAATTATAAGGTTTTGAGTCAAATTCTTGTGTTCTCTAAAATAGTTGTATATGTTGTTTTCAAGACTGTCTTAAATTAAAAAAAAAATGTCTTAAAAGCCTGATTTTCCATATAGTGTGACAACATACCCCACTATTAGTCAAGGTATGTTAAATGAACTGCATTTTGTTTTTCTCCTGAGCAAAAACGGTAGATTTGTTTATTAACTTTTTGTAGCCAAATCATTTACTGGAGTACACAGTGTGATGACTAGCCCAGTTGTCCCTTATATTACATTCAGTTGTATTATATGTATATTCAACTTTAATATTCCTCAAAAATTCAGGTTCTGACTGGATTACTTGTGGATTATTGTGATGCTTTCATCAGCTGTTTGAACTCTCATTTTGATGGCACCCGCATTCACTGCATGCTTAATTTTTTAATCTGTTCTGATGAACAAACAAACCTACATCTTGGATGGGCTAAAGGGTGAGTACACTTTTAGTAAATTTTAATTTATGGGTGAACTATCCTTTTAACTCAAAGTATTAAACTTATATTCTTTTTTGTTTGTTTGTTTGTTTTTGGGAACTTTATACATTTAAAAGAATTTAAGATAGGGATGCACCTATACCGATACTGGTATCGGGCCCGATACTGAGCTCCTGTACTCGTACTCGTTAAAATGCCCAGATACCAAACACCGATACCACACAGCATGTGATAAGTGCCATATTCAGACAAAGAAACACCGACAACAGACAGCAGAATGGAGTTATTAGAGATTAAAGATGTCTACGAAGTATATGTATGCAATGAATATAAAACATTCAGTATTAATGCCTGTATAGCTGATTTGCGCCAGCTGGTAAGCAAATCACGCTGAGTGGATTGAGCGCGTGGCTGCGCAGATGCGCGAGCTTGTCGAGTGAATATCCCTTTCTCACAGACATCACTGGAAAGTTTGTAGTTCGGTCAGATATGTCAAAAAGAAGTAAGTAAAACAATGCACAAGTTACTTAATGGTAGGGAGGGAGGGAGAGAGAGAGAGAGCGCACACTTTTGTGTGATCTTTATTGATGATCGGTCACTTAGCACGCATCATTTGGATTAAAACTAAATCGAAATATAAGACAATTTATTGGGGCATTCACTATAAACGTCATTTATTTTCACCCTTAAGCATACACGACTTTCTGGCGAAAGTGAAACTAACAGCCTGTGTGAAATGCGCTAGGCTGTACTGTACTTGTCCCTCTCATTCTGCTCCAGTACAAATACGTGCACGCGTTGTGCGTGTTTTGCTTGCTTGAGTGTTTCTGCATTATATGAGTGGCTTTGGAATATAAATAGCAGCACGTTTCAGATGAAAAAACGCGACTTCTATTTATGAAAATATCACAGTTAGGAGATTTATAGCAAGTGGTTCCATGCATTTTTACAGCAAATCGCGTGATTACAGTACTACACCGCTGCAATGGAGCAGCTCTAATGCTATTAAATTAAAGATGATGTAGGCTACCATAGAGAGAGAGAAAAAATGAACAGTGAAAGTAACAAAAACTTGTAAAATACATTTTAATGGGCATAATTAAGTGTGAAAATAACCGAAGGATATACAGTGAAACCAAAAATTATTCAGAGATCAGATATAATTTTTGATATTTTTTTACTAGTGGGTGTAGGACACTATAGTTCATTTATGTCAAGTGAGGATAGCAAAATAAACTAAACTGTGATATATTATACCAAAAAATTCTTCATACAGTGGACGAACCAGTAAATTTGATACAAATTTGGAACCAAAAATTATTCAGACCGAGTCTGGGAAAAAATTGAAGTTCAGGTTTGCATGAACCTGGTTGACAGCATGCCCAGGAGACTATATGCTGTCATTAAGGCTAAGGGTCACCCGACAAAGTATTGATAGTTGTGTAAATATTGACAGCTGTATGAATAATTTTTGGTTTATTGTAATCCATTACATACCTTTCTATCAAAGTTATCTAGCATTATCAAGCTGAATTTGTTCTGACACAGTTTAACTATGAGTTCTTGTCATATTTTATTACCATTTTCTAAACTATAGCGAATAAACTGTGATAATGTGAGAAATGTTGAAGGTGTCTGAATAAATTTTGGTTTGACTGTATCTATTTGATAAATGAAGTTAACCAACTAACATTATACATACTATTTTGGTTTCTGTACCCAATATTTAAAAAATTTACAAATGCAATGAAAATATTGGTATCGGTACTCGGTATCGGCAAGTACCAAAAATAAAAGTATCGGTATTGGGCGAGTACTGGAAAAAGTGGTATCGGTGCATCCCTAATTTAAGATAAAAGTGTTACTTGCATTGATAAAATGTTCAAAATATGAATACACTGTTCTGTTTGCATACTGAATTGTGATGACACAATTTCTTGCATAATGACAGCAAACCTCTTGATGCAGCGTTTCATTTACACAGAATCAAAGCCTAACAGCGCACTTAAAATTTTAGATGGATAGTTCGCCACAAAAAAACACCCTTAAGTTCTTCCGAAGGTATTTTGAAGAATTCTGGGAAATAAACAGTTGACGGTAGCCAGTGACTTACATATTATAGAAAAAGATGATAATAAAAATATGGAAGTCAATGCCTACCAGCAATTGTTTGGTTACCCACATTTGTCAAAATATCTTCTTTTGTGTTCAACAGAAGAAAGAAACTCGTACAGGTTTGGAACAACTTGAAGGTGAGCAAATGATGACAGAATTTTCATTTTTGGGTGAACTCTTCCTAACACTATTCTTTTGCTGCCTTGCAAGCACCAATTTTTGGAATTAAACCCACATGTGACAGACACTTTGTATCACTTAAGGTGACAGAAAGGACCAACAATTAGAGACAACCCATTTATTTTGTTTCAAGTTACCATGGCAACACCGCTCACGAGCTCACAATTAGCCATTGTTGACCACTTTTTAATTTAGATTTTTTTAAAGTACATTGAGTCTTTAAAACGCTTATTTTCTTTACTCGAAATGGGGCAAAAGCAGTCTTGCATCATTGTGCTAATCTCAAGTTACCTTACAAATCTGACACAAAACCAGATTGTGTGTTGGAACTTGTATTTATTTATGTATTCATTAAGCTCATGTATTCTTAAGGCTGCAAAACAGCTGCGTCCTGTCACGTTTAGGACAAAAGATACACTGTTTAAGAAAAACCATCATATACAGTTGCTTACTAGTACAAAAGGTTGCAAACAGACAAATATGCAAAGCACACAACAGATCTGCTACTGTATGTGTTACAGCTGAACAGAATCTGATGGCAATTCTACATCACATTCAGTTTGATAGCGGACTATTTATTCATTTAAACACATCATGGTTCCTCTCTTTGACATTACAACATGTTAAAACTATAAATACTATTTATTAGTAATGAATCCCAATCATTATTGTGCTTGTATTTCAAATAGGGCAAAATGATCTCTCAGTGGAGGTTCCCCTGCAACGAAATTCTCTTCCGTTCAGTCCACACAATGCCCCATCCGCGCCGGTTTCTGTGTAACAGTACTCTTGGGGTCATACAGGATAATGGCAGCCCGGGAAATTTCCAATGAAAGGTTTTCAGGAACAGACGACAAGGGCTCTGGAGTGCGAGAGCCCAGACCTGACTAACGCATCCCATTCTGACCATCACTGGACGTTCATCTAAAATCTGAAATATGTTTTTTGGGTTTATTGTGAACAGGAAGGTGAAAAGTGATTGTTTTGTATATCTATTATAAGTGCAGTCATAATAAAATTACATCTAACTTTGTGCCTCATACATAGCAGAGCATGGTAACAAAATGTATACAAACAGAAAGATAAAATTGAGTCCCATGTGTCAAGCAATATGATGATGTGCAAATTATTTCCAGACAATCACACAATTCTCATCACAGTCTCATAAAAGTTTCATGTCACTGCTGTTAGTCAAAATGACATCCCGACTTTTCCCCGAAACAACATCTGTTATAAATCACTAGGCACAATAGTAACTGAAACTTCTGCCACTAAACCGATTCACGCCGCATTTTCTTGCTGATTTTGTTCGTCGTTTCTAGACCCAGCTAGTCTCCAACAGTGGCGCTATGTACAGTACATCCATAATAGAAGAGAAGGTCCTTGGCTCGGTACATCCATACTGATGAGTTCTGAGGATTGCGGTCAGAGGTTAAAGGTCACCGCTCTGGGGTTCCGGGTTCCGGGTTTCACGACCTGAGTTGCGGCCTAGTCTGGGGAAGCGGCTGGAGGCTTTGGATCGGGCAGTTTTGGCACCACTCTCATTAGCTGTCGGGTTGTCCCTGTTAGAGAACAAACGCAAACATCGGTAAACCCCCTGGGCGCTTTGCTCTTTCTTCTCCTGCCTGACTCCAGGTGTTCATTTGTGTTGTGATACCTTTGGAAAACAGATAGTTGCCACCAGGCACCTAAATGCTTAAACGGAGCAGGAAACCACAGTTCGGAGATGTTCTCTGTGCATTTACAATAACTAAATGCTACTGTGTGTCAGAGTCCCCACTGCAGGTAAATAATCAATGAAACAAGCTCTTTGCAATAACATTCTTTCCTTACATCCTCACAGAACGCACACTGACATCACCCGTAACTCAAGGCTAACAAACTGAAACTGAAAGATGCCTGCGAGTTGAGCACCGAGCGGAAAGCCCCCGAGGCTGAATGTGTGTCAGAGACAGTGTGTGAGTCCTGAGGGAGGGCTGTATAGACATCAGCTGCAGTTGAGGGTTAGACACTATACATACACAGCTGCGGCTCACCGTACAGAGACAACTCCAGCCTGGATACCATGATGAGTATATGCCACTCATGAGCTGGAGGAGTCTAGGAGCCAGTGGCGGTCCTGGCTCACATGGTGCCTGCTCCCAAACTACATATAAATATAAATAAACAATGTAAATAATGAAATAATGTACTGCACATACTGTGCTGTAGACCTCTGTGTGCTAGCTATAAAATAAGATAATGATTAACTTAAAAACATTTAAAGATAAAATAATATAATTAAATACAAATTTAAATAAAAGAGTAAAAATGTAATTAAATGAAAAAGTTCCATGTTTTTTTATAAACCAATTAAAATGACAAATAACTATTAGTAACAGGGCCACATTTTAATTTGAAACTTGACTAAATTAACATTCAATAGAGTGCTTCAGGGATGACGTATTTTTGTCTGCCAAAACCAGGTAACAAGTTAGCATTTCAGCACTTCCTGTTCCATCGTCCTGAAAGTCAATGGGGTTTTTTTTATGTATTTTCAGTTAAATGCCTGAAATAAGGCCTGTGGTGAACACAAGTTCAAGATATTTTCATGTTTTATTTTAAAACAAAAACAGAAAAAAAGCTTTTAATTGTCTTGAAAAACGTTCTTTTAATGTGGCTAAATGAGACTACAGAGGTTGTTGGACATCAAACATCATCATGCCAAACAGGTAAACTCATTCATTTATAGCCTACATTTAGATTTTTACTTCTGCCGACTGTATTTATGTTTCAAAATTCATAAAAGTTGTGTTCATTTGTGAAGATCATAATGTATAAAACGAGTAAGAATTGTAAACTTTTGTTTGATCACAGAGTTTATTTTCTGCAATCCAAAAGGCAATGGGAAAAATCAGTCTTCTTGTCGAGGTAACCAGGGTGATGCTACTCTAACTTCTGGGTTGGCCTAAAAATGACATCATCACTGTAGCACTATATAGATGAGGATGTTTTTTTTTTCTATTTTATTCTACAGCATCTTATTTTCATTTACCTTATTTTTATGGTGCCGATGGTGAGCAGAAAAACTAAAAGAGGGTGGAAAAGCAGGAAGGTGCACAAGGAGAAAATACACATTGGGTCACAATTAAAGGTGTCAGGTGGGAAGGAGGGCAGTTGTAATGCCATGAGACTGCTATAGATGAGTGACAGAGAAGTGGTGTGTGTCTGAGAGCTGTGTGCCTGTATCAGCATTGTCCAGAATTCAGCGCTGCATAAAGAATCATGGTTTTTGTGTGATTGTGGCTAAAGGAAAAAGCCAAGGCATCACAAACTTTGGACATATGGGATGGAAAGGGTGCGACTACATTCAAGCTAATTCACACGGTGATGGTGCATGCTTTATATGCATGTGTAAAGTGAGTGCCAGACATTTTAGGAGTATAGAACCACAGAGAAGAGCAAATAAATGGTTTTGTCAAACTGAATGCACCTACATTTGCACAAAAACGTGTGTGGACTTACAATGGACTTCTGCTAAAATTACTTATCAAATTTGATCTGATCTTCAACCAAGTCACAATAACAGACACCACAGTCTGCTTAAACATGTTTTCAAGTAAAAATGGAACAGGTTAATCAGGGCTTGACATTAACATTTGTCTGCTTGTCTGGGACAAGTGGATTTTGTGTGGCAAGTGAAAGAGAATTTTCCTTGCCCGACCGGACAAGTAACATGATTAAAACGTCAACGGCACACAGCAGCCACGATAGTGCTGTATAACAGATGTAGGCCTATTGGTTTTATTTCATTTTTCCTTTTTTAAATTTGAAATATTCCCAAACTTGTTAACTATATCATGAATATCTTGATGTGTAAGTAAATTAATTTTGTATCTATAACGAGCCCTGGGTTATTGACTAACTTAATTGGAGTCAACCGGAGTCAGAGCTATCAGAGCTTAATAAAAAAATATATATATCAAATTGATTAATTATAATATGTTTAATATTAATATTCACTTTTTAATAAAATGAAATCCAATGTTATAAATCCATAGAAAACGCACATCTTTTTTTTCTTGAAAATGTAGGTGCATCAGATGAGAAAACCAGTTACTTGCTCTGTGCTGTGGTTCTATATTACTAATGTCTGGCACTCACTTTGCATAAAACACAACATAACTGTGTGAATTTGATTGGATACAGTCACACTCTTTCTATCCCACAAGGCATCAAATTTTATGACCAATTTATGCAAGAATCTATGGTTCACATACCTTTTCCTGCAACTGGATAATCTTAAAGTGGGGAGAAAAACATGAATTTCCTTCTCTGCTCTCAAAAAGGACCAAAAACAAGAGTTTCAAAGTACCTTTGTGAGGGTATGATGGAACAGCCACTTATGAAGCCGTTGGTCTGAGAGCATGCTGATCTAGCTGTACTGATTACATGTAACTAATAACATTCAAGAGGTTTCAAAGGAAATGAAATTTGAACAGTAAGCCAGAAGTGTGGTTATGCAACACACAACATACCATGATCGGCTTCTCCTCTGCTGTATTGCTGCTGTCAGATCGGCATAGAGATGAGAGAGAAAAGAGGAGAGCTGGGCAAGGGGAAAGAGCGAGGGAGACAGCTAAAAAAAAAAAAAGGAAGAATGAAGTGTTGAGCTGCTTTCAATCAGGCTGGAGCAGCAGGGAAGAAGCTGGAAGCAGGTAAGTGGGGTGCTGCGATGCCCCCCACCAGTAAATCGATCCATCTCTCCATCCATCCATTCTCAGCTCCTCACAAAGCATACTATTGAATGGGTCCATGCAGCAGGAGGCTGATCTGCAGTCTAAACAGTAGCCGCTGAAAGAGTGTCCACGTGTTACATAACCTCTAAGAACAGAGATTCAGCTCTTCATTTAGCCCTGGAACAAGCCCTCCTTATCTGTCTATCCCCTGCACCTCTGCTGGAGAGGCTTCTTGTTATGGATTTAGGTGGGTAATATCTATGAGGCAAATTTTGAAATGACTCAACCACATTGAAACTGAATCGAGCCTTACTGGACGTGGCCCCTCTCAATTGGGAAAACACTGGGATAGTCAATACTTCTCTGTGTGAGACTAGAAGCAATGTCCAATCAACCTCTTCCCTTAGATTTTTGGGCCAAGTAGATTTTAAACAATACAAAATAAATAAATAATCTATCTAAAAATATTATATGTATACTGTATACTGTATATGCATATATCTATATCTGTATCTATCTATCTATCTATCTATCTATCTGTCTGTCTGTCTGTCTGTCTGTCTATCTATATACACATGACACACAAAATGATATGTACACTAATTTGAAAGAAACTAAACTTTTAACTAAACTTGTATTCAGCAAGGATGCAATAAATTAATCAAAAGTGACAGTAAAGGCATTTCTAAGATTTTACATTACATTTCTAAGATTTTACATTACATTCAAAATAATTTTATTTCAAATGCATGCTGTTCTTTTCTACTTTCTCGTCAATAAATCCAGAAAAAAATGTTTATCACTTTATCAACAAAAGCATCTATCTACATACACACACTCACACAATAACCTGATTGTACCTGTATCCTAAACTTCAAGTTGCTAAAAAGTGCTTTTGTCTTTGGTCATGTCTAATATTTCCTAGAGCACCAAGTGAGTCAAGACTGCCACTAGAGCCCCATCAAAACCAAAACGATGACCCAAGGTGAGACCACCTTCGCTGGAAACTCTTTGAAGCAGCCCTGCACTGTAAAGATGTATAGACTTCAAGTGTCTTCCATTTCAAAGCTGAAGTCTCTCAAAGTCTAAAAACATTTTTTTTGTTTCACAGAAACCTTCTCACAAGAATGTCTTTTAAAAGACCTTCGTCATTCGCACTCAAAACTGACAGTGACAGTCAGGAGATGCCAGGAACGGGCACACAAGAGCAGTTTTAACATGAAAGGATTCCCTAGTTGGCAAAGCGAGCTCACTATAACCTCTGTGTGACAGCTTTCCACACTGTCTGTTTGCCAGGAGGCGGCTTTTTTGGCATCGAACGGATATGTAATCACTAATGTGTTTAAAATGACTGTGAGCAGCTACTCCAGGTCTGAGTGCCGCTTCCAGACCACAAGAACAGAACTGTTAATCACATAAATCACACTGTTTATTATTGAGAATAAACACATTTCCTAGACAGCATGTTCAGAAACGTAACTGGTGAACGGTGAACTGTATCTACACAAAGGAAATCCAATCCACATAGAGTTAGTTCTCCCCAACTAAAAAGTAGATGGACTCATCTGTCCTTAGCACTCAAATTATCTCCAGTCATGCCAAGCAAAGAGCCATTATCTTCTCACAATGTGCCAAAGGGTCTCTTTTAATTCAATCAGATTTGATGTGAGGGTACTTTATTTATTTTTGATTAATTTCCTGTATGTAATCGTGTCACGCTGCCAGACCCAGTGCTAACAATAAACCAATGAGATGCAGCATGTGAAAGGAAATCTGACCTGATAAATCAACAAGCCAATCAGAACAGACAATTGGCCGGTAAAATGCAGGATGTGAGTGGTCCTGTAAGGAAATCAAATTTCCTGTAAAAGAACAGCTGTGAGATGATTGTTGACGCAATTTGTTCGGTGTAAAATGGGCAGTGTGGGATTTCAGTGAAGAAACGCATGTCATATTCACAAACCATCGTAATCTAGCTTAACCAGGTGCTGAAACAGAGCCATGGGTATTTAAAATAAAGTCACTGTCATTCTTTTCAGCACAAACACACCTGTCTATGCAAATAAGGCTTTAGGAAGTTTGTAATAGTGAGCGCTATATGCTTGCCATAATTAACGGTGTGCTATTGCCACCCACTGAAAGCAGGCAGTAAATAGGGTTTATTAAAAAGTCATGTTTGTGTACATTTTCTACTCATCATGGCAGTAGTAATTCATCAAATGATGATCAAATAATGGAGAACAGCATTATAATGGGGCATATATCCAGACAGCATGCAGTCGAGTACACTTTCTGCATTTTAAAAAGCCAATTGTAATGGTCTAATGATACCGGTATAGTCCTAGAAAAACGGTGGTTCTCAACAAGAGGGCCACAGAATGATTATTTATAACAGGACAATAAACATCAAAATAAGCTAAAACAAGTCAAATTCATGATATTTCGTCTTTTATTTCTTCCTCTCAACAACTGTTTTTTTTTCTTTGAAGAATCAGGGTTCTTGTGTATTTATGAGGTAGCCTAATTTTAAGTGCAATTTCTAGACTTCAAAAAGAAATCTGAATCGATAAAATAGGGCATTTTTTTTATAATGAATATACTTTTTTTTCAAGCCACACCAAGCTCCAAAATATTTCACTGGGTAGAAATTGTGAGTAAACATATATATACGTATATATATTTAAAAATCCTTATCCAGTAACTCACAAATAAGTGGAAAAAGTACTATACATTCAGTTTAAAAAGAGAAACATTCCACTCATAAAACTTCTGAAATGCTTACATTTAGTTTACAGACACAAGGAGTGTCTGGCCTTCAGATGTTGTTGTGGATATAGGGTTGAGAACCACTGCACTGAAATATACCAATTACATCTTCTGCATCTTACACAACCAAACACTGAGATGCAAAACACAAAAATTGTGAATTTTAGCATGCAAACTGCGTTCAATACAAACTTTTCACAGCTTTATTTGCATAATTCCTCCTTTAGTGAATCATGTGAAGCACAAATGGCGAGTGTGAATGTGGCACTATAAGCGGATGCAATTCATTCTTGGCGAATTCCCCTTGTGTGTCATTTCTGTATTCAGCATGCATTTGTGGCATTTGAAAGTTTGATTGCATTGACCTACTTGAGTGACAACCCAAAATGGCATGTATCATCCATCGAGGCACTTAAATACAGTGTCATATAGAGTCCATGGAGCTGAATTACACAGTTGATGTTTATTGCATGGGAATTATTGTGTCAGTGTGTGTATGTACTCACTGGCAGAAAGGCAGCAACTTCAATAAAGTTTCCTTTGTGGGCTGGGCAGTGTATATATATATATGTATATACTCTGCTAAATTTATCCATGATTATATAGTTCATCCAAACATGATAATATCCCTCGAAAAACCTGTTTCTTCAGGACTTGCTTTGAATTTACAGCATCAAATCATCAGCATCACGACTGTACCCAGCATATCAAGCTGATGGATAACCAGATCAAAGTCAGCGCTGTGGTGGGGGTGACATCAAAAGCAATTGAGATAGAACAAGGGACAGCGGGAGAAAGATTGAAATGTTATTAATGTCCCCTTGATGGCTGATTAACTGGCCTTGATACTCCAGTTCTTGCATCTGTACGCATGTGACATCAGTCATGTCTCACGTGCTGAGGGGAAGTGGACTACTCTAAATGTTCTGGCGTCACCCACTTCATCAGAGGGCAACGGCTCAATCACCCAACAATAATAAAGAACGTTAGGAAGTGTGTGAGTGTTTGCATGCCATCTAAACCACTGCCACCCTGCATTTCAGCATTAGTGTGTCATCAGGGCATGGAGTTCTAATAGTGATCTATCTCCAACAGGCACGAAAAGGCATAAAAGTTGATTATGATATGGGATATGTGGAGGAGATCACCGCTGTCAGATTAGCTTACCCATGAGGGCTGTGCCTGCCAGAGCTAATTTAATGCTCCGGCCCACGTCATGTCAGAACTCCCTTTAAAGGTGAGAACCATGACACCAAGTACAAATATTTGCTCTTTGTGCACTTTACAACAATAACATCAAGTAATATTCACTATAAAGTGTATTAGAGGGTCTTCAAAACCCCTTAGTGGGGAAGCAGGGACACCCTGTTTCATAATGTATTAAAATTGAGAGTTGTAGGGTTTAGGCCTGACCTATAAAAACATAAATATAGTACCAAATATATGTATTTGCATACTTGATGCTCACATTGCAAAAACATTAAAATAATCACATCTAATATGAAAACTACATCTAATAGGATAAACTGGCTCAAATATGATAGCGTTTCCTTGAACAGAAATTGTTTGATATGACAGGCAAAAGAAACCCAAAGCCTTTGGTTTTCTTAGGAAAAGGCTTATTTCTAACATATTCCTAGGTTGAGGATGTATTATGCTACTAATTTGGATTCTATCAGGATAACAAGATAGTAAAACACCTTTTTTACTGAGGGACCATTATGGGCAAAACACCTAGATAAACAAGCCAAGCACATGCACGAACAGCATTATGGCAAGTGCACCTAATAACTGATGTTTTAAGCTGTTTATGCATGGAGCATAAGTAGGACCTTCAGACAATCTGTTAACACAAACACCCCCTGCAATTCACAAAACCAACAAAGCACTTAGCGATCTCTTAAGAAACAAGAGTGTTTCTCTGCAAATTATTTTACGCAGGTATGACTGCAGCTGTTTCCTCCTCTCCTCTACAAACTTTGCATCCTACAAATTGAAACAAATACATAATTCAAGTGTCTTAAATGGATAGTTCAGCTATAAAATTATCATTGTTCACTTCCCCTCATGTCATTACAACCCTTGTGAAAAAGTTGAAACTCCTAACTTCAACTTCAAATCTTAAAAGTATATTAAAAAAAAACACTGTACTTGCAGACAACACATTAATTAAATAAAAGGCCACTTAAGTATACTCGGAGTGCACCTTCATGAATATGTTTCTTAACAATCTTAAGTACACATTTAAAGTGCACTTTATAGTAATGCCAAATTAAAAGTTTTAAAGTACATTTTAAATCATTGTTTTAATAATCTTCAGTCATGCTTCAAAGAAGTACTGTACACTTATTTTGATGTGGTTGCAAAGTACTTGATCATTTAAACTGTAGTGTTATTTTATATTACATTTAAAGTTAATATATTTTACATGTACTAAATTTCGATTGAATCATTAGAAAGGTGTAATTACAAATATATTTAAACATATAGCATACAAGTTTCAATAGAAATTACATTAAAGTATATTTTAGTTCATCATAAAATCAACCTGCTTTGTCAGTACATTCGACAGTACACTTTAACCATATTTCAAAGACAATATAATTAATTATGAAATTACATATAAAAATGTACTTAAGTCCTACTAAAGTGGGTCAAAAAGCACTAAGTTCAATTAATTGCATTAAATAAGAATTGCCATATTTGAATATTGCCCAAAATACCCTATTTGAATATGCAAACTTAAATGAGATTTGAGAGCTTTGGTGTAAATGAAGATTATGAGAATCAAATATGGGTCTATATATAACAAAGCTATTGTATGACTTCACGACAGGCTCCTCTCCAAATTCCTCAAAGCACAGTTCTGCTGATCGTCTGTGTCTGACAGCGACAGGCAGTGAGACTGAGAAAATCACTGCCAGACGCTGCTATTATAGCCAGTAAAGACTTGCTGGAGAGCTTCTCCATCTTCACAGGCTATTGTCTGGACCAGGAGTTGGCTTTAGCCAGCTCGTGCTACACAATGAGTTGTGTTTGTGTTCGCTTTTGTCCAATCACACGTGCAGCATGTATGGACACGTGTGCAGATCTGAATGAAGGAGACACATCGTCAAAATGACAAAGTGTGAGGGTGATTCAAGCTGGTACAGTGAAGCGCAGCACAACCCATCATACTCTCCGAGAATTAAACCGTTATGACTGAAAGAGGTGATTTATCACGCTGACCGTCCCACTGAAGGTTGCTGTAAAAGTGGTTGTAACATTGCTTTTCGAAAGGGGAAATAACCTCATTCATCCTAAAAATAAAAACTGATGGTACATATTTACTCTAGTTTATCACCTTCCGTAGCCACTGCCCGCAACTGCCTGACAAATTGGATTTACTTTACCAAACCACATCAAGCCGATCAATCATTCTAGGCATATCTGCAGTAACTAATCAGGCATGATGTGAGAAGTTATTTACAATTATGCACTTGCCTGATGGTTTTATCCAAAATGATTTACAAAGCATTCAGGATATAATCCTGTGACTCGAACTTTTGACGCAGTCGTTGCAAAAGCCATGTTACAAAACCAGGGTTGTGCAAAATTCAGAATTGAACTGAATTGGCCAGGGGAGAAGAGATCCTCCACTGAGCCTGGTTTCTCCCAAGGTTTTCTTCTCCATTTCTATCACCTGATGAAATTTGGATTACTTGTGACTGTTTCTTTTGCCTAGCTTAGTTAGCGTTTAATATTCATTTAATATTCAGTAATATTATCGATTTACTGCACCGGCACTATTGGATGAGAACTAGGGATGTAACGATTCACTCAACTCACGATTCGATTCACAATTCGATTCGATTCGATTTTATTCACTTTTTTTTTTTTTAACAAAATGAGATTTAAGACAAATTATAAATTAAATGTGTCCTTTTATTATTGCTTGGACAAAATACTGCACGTTTCTTTGTGAAATTGAAATATAACACTATAATAATATACTAATATAGCACTTGTAAATTATGACTCTTTTGTTGGTTTTGATTGCTTCTATTGTCCTCATTTGTAAGTCGCTTTGCATAAAAGTACCAAAATTGAAATATAATGTAAATGTAAATAACAAAACTAAATTGAAATTTTAAAACAAGCCCCAAATCAAATAAATAAGTAACACAAATAAAATAAATCTCTTCATATAAACAAAATAAGTCTTTGTATGTGCTCTTTCCATTTAAAATTAGAGGCAACCAAATTACATTATATTACAAATTACATTGTATAATTTCGAAATTTTAAGCAAAAACAGAATGGTTTGACTTCAGTTTTTATGCATAAA